CAGGGCCCTTTGCCACCATAAATTTTAGAATTATTTATGATAAATAACAACATTATATTAAACATTAATAATATTAATCATATGCATCAACTGATCATTAGCATCAGGAAAAAAGCAATGTAGTGGAGGTCAAAAAAGAAAGCTAATGGGGAGGCATAGCTCAGTGGTAGAAAGTATGCTTAGCAAGCACGAGGTCCTGGGTTCAATACCCAGTATCTCCATTTAAGAAAATAAATAAACAAACTTGATTGCCTTCTCCACCAAATTTTTTTTTAAAGGAAGCTAATAACTCTAGTTTCTAAGTTCTAGAGCTTCCCAAATTCTAGTTGCTCCTGAAGACCAGTTGCCTAGATTTTCCTCGAAATACAGCATTATTCTTCCAGCAAGTTCCCCTTTGATTGTTTAAGCGCATATGTGTGGATTTCTGTTACTTAGAGCTAAATCTCTCTAGCAAATAAATATTTGTCCTTTGACATATGTCAGATTTCTTCCATCTGCATCTGGCTGGGGTTGAATGCAATGTCCATGGCATACCTTACTATGAGCTGATTAAGGACTTGAAGAGTAAAGAATTAGAAAGCTCTGACTTAAGTACTGCCTCAACCACTTCCTAGTTGTGGGCTTATGGACAATTTATTGACTGTCAAGGTTTCAATTTCCTTTCCTTTGTAAGGGGAGATATGGAAAATATAGACACTAAAATTCCAGTTTAATGTTTAGCACTTAAGTTATTAATGACTATGGTTATTACAGCTTTTGAAAAAGCAAAGGAGCAACTTTTAGGATAACCTATACTTTCCTCTAGGTCTTTTCCTCTTTCTCATCATGTATTAGATTTTTATAGAGGAGATAAAGGAATTAATACAATGTAAGGTTATAATAGCCAGACAGGTAATGAATATCCTTGGTCTTGAACTTAAAAGATGGATGGCCTTCCATATGCAGTCAGCTGCCTATAAATTATCACTTCACTGGTAAAAGTGTCCCTTAGAATTTAGTTATACTTAAAACTTATTTAGCAAATTAACAATCCTAGCATATGCTGAAATTCCTCCAGTGCTTGTCTACTGCTAGCTGGTTTTGAAAAATTCTGTAATAGTTTATAGGTTGGCAAATTTTGTTAATCTGTTTTCAGCAGAGAAAAATCTCCTAGCAATGAAACATTTCTGGCAATGGGACAAGATGAAATCGGCACAAATAGAAGCCAAAGATCTCTCTTCTGTCTTTGAAAGAGAGAGAGACAAAATGAGAGAAAAAGAAAGTTTTGCTCATAGTGCTAGCCTCTCAAATTGTAGTTGCTCATTTAATCGTGAAAGAGTAATCTCTTGTAGCTTTCTTTTCTCAATACCTCACTTTTAACTTCAGTGCAGACTGCCTTTCCTCTTATGCTCAAAGTTCACCAGTTTCTGATCAGCCCTCCTACTCCTCAGTTTCTGAAGCATTTCGCCATACTGATTACACTCTCTTTTGGAAAAATATAGTGATTTTCTTTTTATAATTCTCTGAACTTCCTCTGGCTTCTTCATTGGCTGTTCTTTCACCTATCACCTAAAAGTTGGCATCCCCCAGTCATCTGTCCCCAATCCTATGCCATTTTGTTCTACCTCTTTCTGGGTTCTTGGTTTAGTCATCATATCTGTTGTCAAGCCCATCAGATGGACACCGTTTTTCAGTCACCCAACATTGCATGCCATGTCTTATATGCACCTGCACACTTCTGGTCTCCGTAGCTTCACTCATACTTTCCTACTGCTGGAATTTGTTTGGTTTCAATTCAAATTGCTACCTTTACTTTGCCACAACAAAAGGTGACCTTCCCTTCTACTGAATTTCCATAGTAATGACATTGTTCCTTGATGGCCGCTTATTAAATGCTATCATGCCATTATTTGTTCATAAAGCACAGAGTTATAGTGATTTTCAGCTACAGTGCCCATTTTTTCAGATGGAGAAAAAATATGTAAATCCAGAAAGGTAAAGATACTTGCCACAGCTAGCAGGTGGAAGCAGCCAAGCCTAAATCCAGGGATTGCCTGTTCTACTAGACAGCAAGCCTCTCTTTGGGATAAGGACTACATCTCACTCATCTTAAGACACTAATGCAGGGCTTTAAAATTGTCAGTGTTTAAAAAACTACCTGCTGATGGAATGATTCAATGAATGGTGGACATATCAGTGACTACAGAGGAGTCCTAAGGTTAAAGGAAACTCTTCTTCAATAGTAGAGAGTCTGCCTCATGTTTAAATGGCAAGGAAAAGAACTGATTAAAGGGTTAAAGCTGAGAAAAATGAAATACATGAATGTGAAAGTTTCCTGAGTTTAGAGAGAAAGGAGATAGGTAGAGTTCAAGGGAAGAGAATGACTGTGAAAATGGAGAGAAAACTTTTGTCCTGGTGTTGAAGGGAAGAGCATTAAATCCAGCCTCAGAGCAACCAAGGGTACCTATGATTATTTCTTCTTAAAAACACTCAAGAGCCAAAGCGTGTCACACCGACCCACAACACAAATACAGTCTGATGTTGGATTATTCTGGATTCACAGCTTCATGGAAGGGAACAATTTCCACAACCCTGGAGTCCATTAATAGAAAAGAAATTAGATTGACATGGAGGTCCCATGTCTGTGGTCCCAGAGAAGCAAGATGAAAAAGAGAAGTTATTCAGTAAAATAAGTACTTTTCAATAAATGTGGGAAAAATTAAAGAGTAGGTGATATGTGCTAGGCTGGTGTATTCTGATCTGATTTAGAAGTAACAAAGAAGAAAAGAAACATTGAATCATTTATAATAAAAACACATTTGGTATCTTGTAGTAACCTTTAATGAAAAAGAATATGAACATGAATATACGTATATATATGCATGACTGGGACATTGTGCTGCACACCAGAAATTGACACATTGTAACTGACTGCACTTCAATAAAAATAAATAAATAAATAAAATGAAATACAAAATATAATCAAAGATGTGCATTTCATATTGCATGCATTAAGTCAAGGCTTGAGGTTTTCTTTTTTTCTCAACGTATTATTAATTACCTGCTATAAAGGTAACACATCCTCCACCTGAATATGCAACATATCCTGGGAAGATGGCTTCTATAAACTGGGAGGCTTCTGGAAACTCAGCATTAAAAAGGTTCTAAAATATGTCTACATTCTGCTTCCCTCCTCTCACCAGCAACACTGCGCCACTGAGGGAATTAAGGCCGAGTATGGCCATTTCAGCGTGGTGCTAGTTATCTGAAGCCAAGTCACCTCTTTCACACCACGAGGATTCAGAATTCCCACCGTCCGCGGTGCGGCCAGGGCCAGACATTTCTTTGGCAGCTTTGGAGCAGAGCAGCTGGGCTAAAACGGCTGGATGCTGCACTCAGCGAGGAGCAGGGCTTGACTGGCCGCTAGCCCTGGCCCCAGAAGCGAGGCTGGCCAGAGACTCAGGAAAGAGATCAAGTTGCCGAAACATCTCCTGAGAAAATGGTAGTGAGCTCCACGGCATGGCAAGGTCACACGCATCTCTGCCCGGCAGAGGGGGCCGTTCGGGGCAGCAGAGCGCAGCCGGCCCGGGTCCACAGGGAGACCCCCGTTGGCGCAGGACTTCGGCACCCCGCCGGGGGCCACAGAAATGCCTGCTCCGATGACACTAACAGTGAAAAACCTACACCCCAGCAGGATCCAAACGTTCTCTGAAGCTGTATCTTCTTTTTATCCATTGTAATGGAAGAGTTTAGGAATTGTACATAAATTATAACCTCTAAATTTTCCTGCCTGTATTGCTGGAAAGGATGTTCGTGGATTCCCTGACACAGAAGAGGGCTTCCCTTTCCGTTCCGCCTTCGTTAAATACAGTCTGTGTTCGGTAATTAACAAAATACATGTGATGCATCCAAGTGAAATAATGTAGGGTCGTTTGGAAGGGTTTGGATATGACCTATTTTTTAATTATTATCATAATAATGCATTCAGGTGGAAAAAAAGGATTTTGATGAGCTAGAACATGACAGCACGAAGCAGGGGTTCCCTGCTTGGCTTCTTTCCTTCCCGATACATCCCAGCTCTTCTCTCTGGAAACAACCATTTAAAAACATCTATGGTTTTAGTTCTTTTGGTAGTTGCTTCCATAACTGTAAACAATATGAAAACCCTTTTATTCTTTTTGGGGGGGAGCACTTTTTTCCTAAAGTTTAGTTGATCTACAATGTTGTATTTGTTTCTAATACATAGCATAGAGACTCAGTTATACATATATATATATATCCTTTTTCATATTCTTTTCCATTATAGGTTAGTACAAGCTATTGGATATAGTTCCCTATGCTGTACAGTAGGACCTTGTTGTTTATCTCTTCTGTACACAGTAGTTTGTATCTGCCAAATTTTTGGCAGAAAACACTTTTATTGTTAAATATCTCAGCTTAAGAAATATCGTCCCAAGGACACTGTGGAATTAGCTCACTTACTATCCTGTCCCGTACTCCACTCTGTCTTCCTCCCATTTTTTATCATCGAGCTTTCAAGAACCAAAATACTGACCTTTCATCCGGTTCATGGGTACCAGTGAACAAGGTGAGGGAGTGAAAGAGCCGGCAATCTAAGCCTGTCCCCTGCCCAGCCGTCATTCTGGTCGTCTTATTTTCCTGCTGTGAAATCCAGGGCATCCAGGAAGAACCATGGCTCCCAACCAACAGTGCGCTAACTTTGTAGTGTGTTGGCTATGCTGACCTACATTTCCCAAATTTCTCAGCCAGAGTGGACCGTAAGGAAGGTTCTTGTGTGAGATCCAAAGAGCAGAAGTGAAAGCAGTTTGTTTTCTTTTCTTTTCGTTTTTTTAATTGAAGTAAAGTCAGCTTACACTGTTGGGTTAATTTCTGGTGTACAGCATAATGATTCATTTATAGCTATTTCTTTTCAAATTACTTTTCATTGTGGGCTTGAATACAGTTCACTGCGCTCTACACTAGGACCTTTTTGTTTATCTGTTTTATATATAGTAGTGTGTATCTGCGAATCCCGAACTCCCAATTTATCCCTTCCCATCTCCTTTCCCCACTGGTAACCACAGTGTGTTTTCTATGTCTGTGAGTCTGTTTCTGTTTTGTAAATAAGTTCATGTGTGGTGTCTTTTTTTTTTTTTAAGATTCCATATATAAGTGTTATCATACAGTATTTTTATTTCTTTTCCTGGCTTACTTCACTTAGAATGACCATCTCCAGCTCCATCCATGTTTGCAAATGGCATTATATTATTATTTTATTGCTGAGCAGTATTTTGTTGTATAAATATACCGCAACTTCTTTATCCACTCATCTGTTGATGGACATTTGGGTGGTTTCCATGTCTTGGCTGTTGTAAATAGTGCTGCTATGAACATTGGGATTCATGTATCTTTTTGAATTAGAGTTTCCTTCAGATATCTGTCCAAGAGTGGGGTTGCTGGATCATATGTAAGTCTATCCTTAGTTTTTTAAGGAATGTCCATACTGTTTTCCATAATGGCTGCACCAAACTACATTCCCACCAGCAGTGTAGGAGGGTTCCCTTTTCTCCACACCCTCTCCAGCATTTATTGTTTATGGACTTTTTAATGATGGGCATTCTGACTGGTGTGAAACGATACCTCATTTTAGTTTTGATTTGCATTTCTCTGGTAATCAGCAATATTGAGCATTTTTTCATGTGCCTGTTGGCCATTTGTGTGTCTTCCTTGGAGAAATGCTTGTTTAGGTCTTCTGCCCACTTTGGGATTGGGGTGTCTATTTTTTTTGTAATTGAGTTGTATGAGCTTTTTGTGTATTCTGGAAATTAAGCCCTTGTCAGTCACATAATTTACAAATATTTTCTCCCATTCCGTTGGTTGTCTTTTTCTTTTGTTTATAGTTTCCTTTGCTGTGGGAAAGCATATAAGTTTAATTAGGTCCCATTGTTTATTTTTGCTTTTATTTCCATTGCCTGGTTAGGCTGCCCTAGGAGAACATTGCTAAGATTTATGTCAGAGAATGTTTTTCCTATGATCTCTTCCAGGAGTTTTGTGGTGTCCTGTCTTATATTTAAGTCTTTAAGCCATTCTGAGTTTATTTTTGTGTGTGGCACGAGGGAGTGTTCTAACTTCATTTATTTACATGCTGCTGTCCGTATTTCCCAACACCACTTGCCGAAGAGACAGTCTTTTCTCCATAGTATGTTCTTGCCTCCCTTATCGAAGATTCATTGACCGTCGGTGTGTGGGTTTATTTCTGGGCTCTGTATTCTGTCCCATTGATCTGTATGTCTGGCGCTGTGCCAGTGCCATGCTGGAACAGCAATTATTTTGATATTTCATACTGACAAGGAACCCGTCTTGATCAAACTTAATCAAGCTCCTTTGAGCCTTCTTCTCAACTAGTCTATCTGTGGTCTTCTCAGCACAGTTTAGCAAGAATACCCACACCCCGGATATTTAATCAAGTTCCTCTTACTCTGTTTCCCTCCACTGACCCCCTCACTCTGTCCATTGGCTATAATCCTTCAGTTATCTTTGCTATATTTGTGGTTGAACTCAGTTCTAGACTGAAGTCTCTTTCCCATACTGCAGTAGCTCAAATAAAATAGGTCTTGCCATTTCTAACCAGTGTTCTGGGCAATTTTTCTTTTACAATATACTTTGTGTTATACACAATGGCCCACCCCTTTGCTGTAATTGTCTTGTGTCTGCCAGCTTATCCCATTCGTAAGGGTGTGACTGAGCCTACCACGGCTCCAGCTTCACCAAGTCCCTCCCCTGGATCCTCCAGCTTCTGGCTCTGGTGTGTGTGTTTAGTTCCATCAGGAAGGGCCCCGACATCTGTGAGATACCCACACCATCAAGGTGAGTGGTTATAAAAACTGACACAGATTTCAGTCCACCCCTGTGGGCTCCAGGTTGTTCTTGCTCTCCTGCTCTTTGACGTCCATCATCCCTTCTGTGTGACCTGAACTTCAACTTCCCAGCATCAGTCTTGAGGACAACAGCCTTAATAGAGCTACTTAATCAGCTCCCGCAATTGCATTAAGCCAAATCTCTGTAACAAACAAATCCTTTTAATTTATGTAGGTATGTATTTGGATAGAGCTAGAAATAGAGATTTAGATATAGATACAGATAAAGATATAGAGATAGATGTAACTATAGAGGTAGATAATATAGGTAGATAGACAAAGCTATAGATACAAATTCCCAGTGTTTCTGCTGCCCTAATTGATGCAGGCAGCAGAAAGCGACACCATGTCATACATCCCTGGTCCAAGAGTATTCAGGTATGTCTGAGATGCTGAAAGAGACTTGGGCTGGGACATCAACCCCCATTTCTGGCTTTCTCAGGACTATCAGAGATTCTCCAGACTAAGGGGAAGCCCTTTTTGAAACAGTGCCCCTACTCTAAGGGGGGTATTCTTGGAGATTCTATGTGGGGCTACTGCATCAAAGGGGAAAATGTGTAAGTCATCCAATATTAGACTCAACAGCACAGCTCCTCCACTGCCCAGAGAATTATCTTCCACACGGCACGTGGGTGAGCTCAGTCCTTGGACAGAAACTCTGGAAAGCTAAATGAAGATCTGCCACGCCGATGCCTGCTGACAGATGACTTAAGAAACAGGAGATTAGGAAGAGCAGAGAGGAGACATTTGAAAGACATTAAGTTTTACAGGGAGATGCTAGCCTGAAGGGTTTACAGTGTTATTCCCTTTTATCTTTATTTTTCTATAATTGCCCTACTTAGAGAAGATCTGTCATGATGGCAGACCTAAAGGTGTCGGTCTCATTGACTGTCTGTCATTGACTCAATTGTACAGATGTGCAAAAAGAGGCTTACAGAAGTGAATGTACTTGTTCAACCCATATGCCCCCCATCCTGTGTTACTACTGTGACTGAAATAAATGCACAGCCTAAAAGTTGAGAGTTCTGTTTTATTTGGCGGGAGGACTCGAGCCGGGAGGACAGCCTCTCAGATCTCCCTGAGGGGCTGCTCCCAAGAGGCAGAGGAGGAGCTAGGATACATAGGGGCTTTACAACAGAGACCAGGTAGTTGGAACAATGAAAGATTACTTGTTATCTAAAGAAAGCCAGGCATCTCAAGTTAAAGAATTTAGTCCTTTTCTGTGTATGGGAGGAAGCAAACATTTGGGCTCCCTGAATTCATTCCTTTGACAAGCACCTGGCTACCTA